CCACAGCACCACTTTCCGGCTTTTTTCGTTTTTGTTTATGTGGTGCTGAGGAATCGATTTCTTTTTGCTTATGTGGTGCTGAGGAATTGAACCCAGGGCCTCAGGCATGCAAGGCAAGCGCTCTACCACTGAGCCAACTTCCCAGCCCCTAGTCAATGCTTTCTGAATACAATTTTTTTGGGGGGGATCAGTTGTGGGGCTTGAACTCTGGGCTTGGACTCTATCCCTCAGCTCTTCAGCTCAAGGCGAGCAATCTACCGCTAGAGCCACAGCGCCACTTCCGGTTTTCTAGTGGTTTATTGGAGATAAGAGTCTCACAGACTTTCCTGCCCTAGCTGGCTTTGAACCGTGATCCTCAGATCTCAGCTTCCTGAGTAGCTAGGATTACAGGCGTGAGCCACTGTGCCTTGCTCTGAATACAATTTATACGGAAACAAATCAACAGCAAAACATACTCTGTTTAGTAAAAATTGCTAACTTCATAAAATATTACACACAAGATCAAGCATCTTTTATGAATCACGTAAAAGAAAGGTTTTCTTAACTCTGCCTCACCTTGGATTGTAGAAATTTGAAACACTGTTGGTTAAGCACCTCTACAAATTCAGATTCAAAATCCTGGTCACTGTACCAGGCACCACCAGTAACAGACCGATCTGGCTGCAGGTTGTACAGCATATATACTTTCTTTTTGGAGGCCTAGGAAAAAAGGGGCACAGTTCATGTATTTTTAACGATTTTTAAAAATGACATACTTTTTAAAATAAATTCTTATTTTAGAAGAGTTTCACATGTACAGAATTATTAGAAAGACAACTTGGAAGACCATCTGGCATACCTAAATATTTTGGAGAACAGGAGGTGCGTATTTCCTTTGCCTTTCTTAGGCTACCTACATATTAAAAAAAAACCTACACAAGAATTATTACAGGGGCTGGGAAGGTGGCTCAGTGGTAGAGCGCTTGCCTTGCATGCATGAGGCCCTGGGTTCGATTCCTCAGCACTGCATAAGCAAAAAGAAAAAAGCCAGAAGTGGCACTGTGGCTCAAGTGGTAGAGCGCTAGCCTTGAGCTGAAGAGCTGAGGGACAGTGCCCAGGCCCAGAGTTCAGGCTCCACGACCGGACCCAAAAAAAAAAAAAAAATTATTACAAATATGTGGAGAAAGTTCCCAAACTTGTGTTTGTGTCAACAGTGAGGGCAGTCTTGAAAGGGGGTAAAACTGCCTTTAACTTGTGTCAGAATTACATTGCTGCCAGCATGCCACTTCACTTTCATAAAATGTTTTAAGTCTAATACACTGTATAGTTAGGATTGGAATGGTTAACAAGGATTCTGAAGGGAAAAAACTTCCTAACTCAGAAAAGTACTTATGTACATTCCTTTTTACAGGACAGCACCTTATTCCTCTACCTGCTTCACTCAGGTTGTTTTCTTACATTCTGTAATACATTTAGTTCCTTGTTTTATTGTACCCTGGGATCTGCCTAATTCCTAAATGACTTTATAAAATTCAATGCACATTAAGATTACTCTTTGTGCTATCAATTACTATAGTTTTGGGAGTTTTATTGTTAATGGTTTTGTTAGTAGTGTGTCTTGAATTTGGAGCCTGGGTGCTATACCTGAGCTCTTTTGTTCAAGGCTAGCTCTCTACCACCTTGAGCCACAGCACCACTTGTGGTTTTCTTGTGATAAACTGGAGATTTCGTGTGGTGAATTGGTAGTGTCTCCTGCCTGGGCTGGCTTTGAACCATGATACTTATATCTCAGCCTCCTGAGTAACTAGGATTACAGGCGTGAGCCACCAGTGCCCAGCTATTTTCTATAATTTTGATACATGTTTAATGCAAGCTTGTATCATATAGAACAGTTTTGCTGCCCCTAAAATATCTCCCATGTTTCTCTTATTCAACTTCTCCCTACTCCCATGCCCATACCTTGGTAACCACTTAGCTTATCACTGTGTCTGCAGTCCTGCTAGAATTCCACAAAGTTAGATAGCTGGAATATAGAGTATGTAGCCTTTTCAGAGTGGCTTCTTTCACTGAGCAATATGAAATAAAGATTTTCCATTTCTTTTTAGGATAGCAGCTCATTTCTTTACACCAGTAAACATTCCAGTTTGGTTAGAAAGATAAGAAACACCAATATAGTATAGGAGACACTATAGGTATCCAGGACAGACACTACCAAAAGATCCAGGGAAGGCATCTATCTCTGACTTGCTCACTAAGGATCCCAAGCACCCAGAGTATGTGCCTATAACACACCACTAGGTATATGCTGAATATATATGCTAACACATGTTAGAATAAAGTAAACTTGATCTCACAGTATAAAAACTAGGAAAAGTGTTCTTCAAAATGAGTTCACTGAAGAAGTTTTAGTTTGGAATGGGTAAGACATCAATTAGGCAGTGAAAAAATAGTATCTCCAACACAGGTTAATAGGTGTGTATGCACACGTGTGCTCAGCGCAGCGGACACTTAACACACTGGTTTGGGGCTTGAAATTCAGGTCCCTGGCCAGTGTGAACTAATTTTTAGGATTAGAATGGTTCCCTGATGGGGAAAAACCTTTTTTTTTGTTTTTTGTCAGTCATGGGGCTTGAACTCTGGGCCTAGGCACTGTCCCTTGGCTCTTCAGCTCAAGGCTAGTGTCCTTCCACTTGAGCCATAGCACCACTTCTGGTTTTCTGGTGGTTAATTGGAGATAAGAGTCTCATGGACTTTTCTGCCTAGGCTTTGAACCCTGATCCTCAGATCTCAGCCTCCCGAGCAGCTAGGATTATAGGCATAAACCACAAGGGCCCAGCTGGAAAAAACTTCTCAACTTCAGAAAAGTGCTTTTTTAAAAGTCCTTTTTTTGGGGCAGTTGCTTTAAATCATAGCATAGACTGAAGAATAAAACCCTGAAGTACACTTATAACAACATATATAAGGAAAATTACTCACTGCTACAGACTTAACAGCTTTGATAAGCTTTTTACTTTCCAAATTCTTTAGAATTTTGTTGATTTCTGTTAATGGCAAGTTGCTTTTGTATCGTATATCTCTGCTCCATATTCCTATGGGAAATTAAAACAAGTTGAAGTACAATGTGTGTTTCTATTCATTACCTATATCTCATTCTAAATTATCAAAATAAATTGACAGCAAACCCTTTAGAAAAAAAAACAAACTTTATGTAATAATGTTAGGAAATTTAAGTAACTTAGAGGAAAAAGAAACCTTTTTAAAAAACATTCATTGTTCTGTTAACAAAGATAGTAAATAAGCCATACACTTTATATTAGAACTAGAAATTTCTAGAAATCTCATTCAGGCACCTTTTTAAAAACATGAAAAGAAGCTGGGCACTGGTGGTGTGCGCCTATAATTCTAGCTACTCAGGAGGCTGAGATCTGAGGATCACGGTTCAAAGCCAGCCCAGGCAGGAAAGACTGTGAGACTCTTATGTCCAATAAACCACTCAGAAAATCATAAAGTGGCTTAGTGGCTCAAGTGGTAGTGTTCTTGCCTTGAGCTGAAGAGCTGAGGTGACAGCATTCAGGCCCAGAGATTGGCCCCATGACTGACAAAAAAAAACAAAACAAAACATGAAAAGGACATTTTTATACTGGGGGGAAAAATATGAATACTGTTGAATTTCAACGTATTTTCCATCCATTCCTTACACTAATCACTAGTTTCTTTTTCTTTTCTTTTTGCTGGTTGCGAGGCTTGAACTGTGGGCCTGGGCTCTGTCCCTCAGCATTTCAGCTCAAGGCTAGTGCTCTACCACTTGAGCTACAGCATCACTTCTGGTTTATTAGAGGTAAGAGTCTCATGGACTTTCCTACTTGGGCTGGCTTTGAACTGCAATCCTCAGATCTCAGCCTCCTGAGTAGGTAAGATTATAGGCATAAGCCACTGATACCCAGCTTCATTGCTAGTTTCTGATCATTTTCATTTTATTTTATTTTTTTGGAGTCCGGTCGTGGGGCCTGAACTCTGGGCCTGGGCGCTGTCCCTCAGCTCTTCAGCTCAAGGCCAGCGCTCTACCACTTGAGCCACAGCACCACTTCCAGCTTTTTTCTTTTTGTTTATGTGGTGCTAAGGAATCAAACCCAGGGCCTCAGGCATACAAGGCGAGCGCTCTACCACTGAGCCACCTTCCCAGCCCCTCATTTTCATTTTAATTTGGGTCAAGTCAACTGCCACCTCTCTGAAAAAAAATTTTTTTAAGCTGAATGTTTGAATATATATCCATTATTTATATCACATTACATTGTAAAGTTAAAAAAAATATTTCTGGCCTTTTTTTTTTTTTGTGGGTCGTGGAACCTGAACTCTGGGCCTGGGCACTTTCCCTCAGCTCTTCAGCTCAAGGCTAGCACTCTACCACTTGAGCAAAAACGCCACTTCCAGCTTTTTCTGCTTATGTGGTGCTGAGGAATTGAACCCAAGGCCTCATGCATACAAGGCAAGCACTCTACCAATGAGCCACCTTCCCAGCCTATTGTTCGTTTTTGTAGCTACTAAAAACTAATTGTGGGAAGACATGATTATTCTTTCAAAAAGAAAATAAATATTACATGTGGAAAAAAAGGTAAATAAAAATATTTTGCTTAGTTAAGCATGCTGGGGAACATCTATAATATAGATAACATAATCAGCACTTGAGAGATGGAGGCAGGTAGACCTAGTCAAGACCAGCCTAGGTTGGGAAGGTGGCTCAGTAGTAGAGTGCTTGACTTGCATGCATGAAGCCCTGGGTTCAATTCCTCAGCACCACATAAGCAGAAAAAGCTGGAAGTGGCATTTTGGCTCAAGTGGTAGAACACTAGCTTTGAGTGGAAGAGCTGAGAGACAGTGCCTATGCCGAGTTCAGGTCCCATGACTGACCAAAAGAAAAAAAGACCAGCCTAGGTTAGTGAGATCTTGTCTCAGAAAACAAATGACAATAACTAAAATTTTTGCTTTCTTTATTTTCCAGTCTAGTACTGTTTTTGTTGTTGTTGTTTGTCAGTCATGGGCTTGAACTCTGGGCCTAGGCCCTGTCTCTGAGCTCTTCAGCTCAAGGCGTGCACTCTACCATTTGAGCCTTGGCAACACTTCGTTTTCTGGTGGCTCAAAAGATAAAAGATTTTCCTGCCTAGGCTGGCTTTGAACTACAATTCTCAGATCTCAGCCTCTTAAGTAGCTAGGATTATGTGTGTGAGCCATGGGCACCTGGCTGTAGGACTGTTTTTGAAATGTTAATTTAGCCAGGTACCAGTGGCTCACACCTATAATTCTAGTTACTCAGGAGGCTGAGATCTGAGGATTGTGGTTCAAAGCCAGCTTGGGCAGGAAACCCCATGAGACTCTTATCTCCAATAAACTACAAAAAAAAAAAGCCAGAAGTGGCGCTGTGGCTTAAGTGGTAGAGTGCTTGCCTTGAAGAGCATGCTCAGGAACAGCATGCAGGGACAAAGTGCATGCCCAGAATTCAAGCCCTAGAACTGGTTAAAAAAAAAAAAACAAAAAAAACACTAATTCACTGTAAAATACACTTAATTATACAATTTCAAATAATATTTTTACAAGCCATTGTCAGTGACACAAATAGATCCTAAGGCATATTAACTACAATCTTTTTTTTTTTTTTGGTCGGTCGTGGGGCTTGAACTCTGCGCCTGGACATTGTCCCTCAGCTCTTCAGCTCAAGGCTAGCACTCTACCATTTGAGCCACAGTGCCACTTGGTTTTCTGAGTGGTTTATTGGAGATAAGAGTCTCATGGACTTTCCTGCCTGGGCTGGCTTTGAACCACGATCCTCAGATCCCAGCCTCCCAAGTAGCTAGGATTAAAGGTGTGAGCCACCAGGGCAGGCTTAACTACAATCTTGATAGCAGAGTGTGAGTGTGTGTGTGTGCACATGCACACACGTGTGTGCGCACCAATCAATACTAGAGCCAATCACAATACTCAGTGCCAATCACAAATTTCACTCACTTTTTCACTCAGGGCTGGTGCTCTACTACTTGAGCCACAGCTCTACTTCCAGCTTTTTGGTTATTAATTGGAGGCAAGAGTCTGATGGACATTCCTGCCCAGACTGTTTTTTTGTTTTTGTTTTAATATTTTTTTGTGTGTTGGTCCTGCAGTTGGAACTCAGGGCCTAGGCACTGACCTTGAGATTTTTTTCCTCAATGCTGGCACTCTAACACTTTAGACACAACTACTAGCTTTCTGGTGGCTAACTGCAAATAATAGTCTCATGGACTTCCCTGCCAGGACTGGCTTTGAACAGCGGTCCTCAGATCTCATCCTCCTGAGTAGCTAGGATTACCGGCATGAGTCACAGACACCTGGCTCCAGGCTGGCTTTGAACCTTTACCCTAGCATCCTGAGTAGCCAGTAACAGGGTGAGCCAGTGCCTAGCTTGTTTGGTTATTTTAGGTCTCACTGCATGGTGCAAGCTGTTCTCAATCTCGTGATCTTCTAGCTTCAGCCTTCCAAGTATTAGGATTATAGGCATGTACTATCACACTCAGCTTGATACGGTTCTTCAAGAGGGATAGGAAGGGAAGTGTAACTATTGAAGAACATATATCAAAACACTGTCATGCTGCAGTATGCATCCTCTGGTCTTTGCAAAACCAGAGATGTCATTAGCCACAATTTACAGGTAAGATGAAAAAACTAAGGCTTACAAAGCTTAAGTAACTTGTTCAAGATCATCACTTTGGTTTGAAAGTTTCCCCATATTTCATGGTTTGGAAATATAATCTTCAGTTATATATTAATGTTTTTTGAGAAGTAGAATAAATGCCTGTTAGAAAAAAATGAACTTTTTTTTCTGTCAGTCATGGGCCTTAAACTCAGAGCCTGGGCACTATCTCTGAGCTTTTTTGCTCAAGGATAGTGCTCTACCACTTTGAGTCACAGCTTTACTTGTTTTTTTGGTGGTTAAATGGAAATTAAGAGTCTCACAGACTTTCCTGCCCAGGCTGGCTCTGAACTCTGATTCTCAAATCTAACCCTCCTAAGTGACTAGGATTTTAGCCACCAGTGCCCAGTGAAAAATGATCTTTTGTACAATACATAGTGCATGCCCAGCATATGCAAGGTCCTACAATCTCTAGTACAGCAACAAACAAAAACTTCCAAAAGAAAAGTTTCTCTGCTGGCTTGCTTTGTCTCACTGTGATAACCTGTGCCATCTTGTGACTCTTCAAAGAATCCCTACTAGCAAGAAGGATTTAACAAGGTTCTTCTAATATTCTAAGAAGTACTTTCTTTTATAAAACCACCCAGTCTGTGATAGTTACAGCATCAGAAAACAGGCTAAGGTAGCTGTATAGCTAAAAAAAAAAAAAAAAAAAAAAACCTTTAAGTTTTAAATAAATCATAAATGTCGCTTAGATTTAATTCCCCCATCTTCCTCACAGAAACAATGACATTACTCCTATGTATCCTTCAAGCACATGTATTTTTTTTGGGGGGGGAGGGGTCTGGTCGTGGGGCCTGAACTCTGGGCCTGGGCGCTGTCCCTCAGCTCTTCAGCTCAAGGCTAGTGCTCTACCACTTGAGCCACAGCGCCACTTCCGGCTTTTTTCTTTTTGCTTATGTGGTGCTGGGGAATCGACCCCAGGGCCTCATGCATGCAAGGCAAGCTCTCTGCCACTGAGCCACCTTCCCAGCCCAAGCACATGTATTTTTATCAGTGTATGTTTTATTCCTTTCCTTCCTATTTTATACAAATGCTACAGCACTAAGTTTTACTCTGGATAGCTGGGATCTTGTTATATCTCGACCCCAAACCAATGTGTTTTCTGCTCCATTCTTCACAAGCTTACCTTTATTTCCTGCATCTTCTATGATTTGATATACTAGTTTTTCTTGGTTATCTGATCCCTTCATTTTCCTGCAGAGGAATAAAGCAGACTTTAAGAAGAAAGGGGGTATAAGATGTACAAAAATCTAAATGACTACTTAAAGAAATTATCAAAGCCAGCATATTAACTTATTTACCAAAAGAAGGGCTTACCTTAAAAAGAATGAGACAGAGCTGTGTGTACCAACATGAAAAGATGTCCAAGATATAGTAAGTGAAAAAAATAAGTTATAAGACAATATGGACAGCAGGATCCCATTTTTGTTTTTAAAAAAAGATTATATATGAATGTACAATATATAAATAATAAATATAGAATCATTTATGAGTTTAAATATACAAGAAAGGATATATATCTCATTTTTTAAAAGAGTGGTTACTCTGAGAAATGAAATATATGACAGAAAGCAAGATTGATATACAAGACAAATTTATACTCTCTCTCTCTCCCTTTCTCCCTTTTTCTCTTTCTCCCTTCCTTCTTTCCTTTTCCTTCTCCCCTCCCTCTCTCTTTTTCTCTCTTTTTTTAACTCAGAGCCTAGGCTCTGTCCCTTAGCTTTTTTACTCAAGGCTAGCACTACCACTGGAGCCAAAGTTCTACTTCCAGCTTTTTCTGGTTAGTTAGAGATAAGAGTCTCATGGTCTTTTCTGCTTGGGCTGGTTTTGAACCTCTATCTACAGATCTCATCCTCCTGAGTAGCTTGGATTATAAGGATAAGCCACTGGCACCTGGCTTTTTTGTTTGCTTTTTGTTTTTGAGACAAAGTTTCACTATATAGACAAGACTTCCCTCAAACTTTTGACCCTTTGGCTTCAACTATCTAAGTGCTTGAGTAAGAGGAATGCACCACCATACCTGGCTACACTGTGCAATTCTGTATTACCTTTTTTCCTAACACATACATTACAATTATGATAATTAAGGCTTTATTAAAATAAAAAAATAGTTGCTTACCCAGCATTCTGAGAGTCCTTTATTCTATATAAAAGACCAGTATTACTCCTTAAGAGATCCAATTGACCCTAAATTATTTTAAAAACAGAAAATAAGATGTCAATTATAAGGTACATCAATTCTAATAACAAATATTACTGGATTCTTTAATATTTTTACTATGCAGACTAAAATATTCTCCCTCATTTATTTGTCAGCTCTCCACTTGAGACTTAGCGTTCTGTCACATGAATTTTTGTGTTTTTTTTTTTTTTTGGCCAGATGTGAGGCTTGAACTATGGTCCTGGGCATTGTTTCTGAGCTCTTCAGCTCAAGGCTAGTGCTCTACCACTTCAGCCACAGTACCACTTCCAGTTTTCTGGTGGTTAATTGGAGATATGAGTCTCATTGACTTTCCTGCCCAGCCTGGCTTTGAATTGCGATCCTCCGATCTCAGCCTCCTGAGTAGCTAGGATTACAGGCGTAATCCATTAGTGCCCAGCTTGTCACATGTATTTTTAAAAACTTAACTATTTCAATATATTTAAAATACCAGTATTAATAATGTCCCAAGGGCTGGGAATGTTGTGTAGTGGTAGAGTACTTGTCTAGCATACAAGAAGCCTTGTGTTAGATTCCTCTTTACCACATAAACAGAAAAAGCCAGAAGTAGTGCTGTGGCTCAAATGGTAGGGTGCTAACCTTGAGTAAAAAGAACCTTAGGGACAATGCCAGGCCATGAGTTCAAGCCTCAGGACTGGCAAAAAACAAAACAAAACAAAACAAAAAACCCACAAAACAACAATGTCCCATATGCTGTACCCTAGGTTAGTTATAAGGCTAATACCTAAGGAATTTTCCAAAAGCAGATTTTGAACAATACATAAAAATCAATACTCAAATCTAAATCTGCATCATATAATACAAGTACAAAAATAAAACTTGTAAAATATAAAAGTTCGGATAAAGGGTAAACGTGTGGTCAGTACCACAATGACTAAATAAAATTATGAGGTTAACAATAATATTTAATGATGTACAATTGTATTTATTTATTTGGTGTTGATCTGAGCCTGAACTGAAGTCTTCAAGTTCTCACTGGGCTTTGTTTTCAAGGTTGGTGCTTAATTACTTGAGCCATAGCTCCACTTCCAGCTTTTTTTTTTGGGTCCAGTCATGGGGCCTGAACTCTGGGCCTGGGCACTGTCCCTCAGCTCTTCAGCTCAAGGCTAGCGCTTTACCACTGTGAGCCACAGCACCACTTTCCGGCTTTTTTCGTTTTCGCTTATGTGGTGCTGAGGAATCGAACCCAGGGCCTCAGGCATGCAAGGCAAGCGCTCTACCACTGAGCTACCTTCCCAGCCCGACTTCCAGCTTTTTGCTGGTTAACTGGAAATAAGAGTCTCATGGGCTTTCACACCCAGGCTGACTTCGAACCATGATCCTCATATATCAGCCTCCTTAGTGCCTAGGATTACAGGTGTGAGGCACCAGTACCTAGCTTTATGCATAATTTTATTGTGCTATATGAAATCAGGCAGAAATATCAAGAAATAAATAAATGCTTATGGTAGTATTCCCTTATATAATGAACCAAAAGTAAAATAAAGCATGTTCTGACATACTTCTGAATTGCCTTAGAACATCAGGAGAACCTGGATGCCTGTACCATTGGACTTCAGGTCATTCTGCGAAACTGTGAATGGGAGGGGCCCCATTCCTATATTTAACATTGGAAAATTAGTCTTAGGTATTTACTTGCATACCAGATGAACTATGACACCTTCCTTCCCTCCCCTCGGCCCCATAAGGTGGCAAGGTGGGACCAGAAAACTAAATTTAGAGGCTCCATCTCTCACTTAAATTGGTACAATGAAGTTAGCCATCACAACTACAAGGTAACAATATATTAGAAATGACAGGACTATAGTTGGAATTCATCTTACCATAGACAACAGTCTATTGATGGCCACTGCCCGTTGTTGGGCTTCTATATGAGGCATTTCATTCTGAATTACTTGATCTGTGATTCCATGTGGGAACTGGTGGCATAATTCTATAATTCTAGAAACAAAGATATTAATAACAATGTGTTTGCTTGTTACAAAGAGTAGAGTTAAATGTTAAAGCTGCGACTTCAATTTTCTCTGCTGGAATAAGAACAACGTTAGGCCACTAGTCGGTCAGCAGGAAACAAGGGCAAACATTTCCGGTGGGAAGCCAAAACTTAATGATAATTCCCTATAACTGGGGGCCGTTTGGGGAAGGAATTACCTTTATCAAGTAAATCCAAGTCTTCTTAAAAATCAACAAATGTATTAGCCATAATAGCTTGGCAAAGTTGAGGTCATTTAAAATATTGTGATACTTTATAAACAGCAGTGTAGTAGTAATAGCATACATAATATTAAAGAAGCTACAGGATAATTAGTGAAATGATTTGGCTTAAAGTTGCTTTGTAATCACAAACTGAGTCCTGATCCGTCCAGCGTCCAGTCGTGAGTTCCTTTAATGAGTGATAGAGTAACCCTGGATTACAAATAGTAACCTACTACTTATGGATATTACTTGTTTCTCCCTTAGAAAGGAATGGTATCACTTACTTCCTGAACGTTATTACGACAAAGCCAATTACAGAAGTTGCAAGCTTTCAAATGGGGTATGCATACAGAACCCGGCTCCCTCGTGCTCCCCCCACTAGTTCCAGCCTCTCCCTTAGGAAAGGAGTTCCGTAGGGTCAGCAGGGTCCTGCAGGAGGCCGCCTGCAGGGAACAGCGGTGGAGGCCATCTGGAGTCAAAAAACTGAGCCTCAATGATTCACCTGTTTTCAATTTCGACTGGATCGGCGTCAGGAGGCTGCACCTTCACCTTCACCTCAGCCATAGTGCTCAGTTCCCGGATCTGAAGGAAGAAACTAACCCCAGAACCACGGGAGGCCACAAACTACAAGCTGGGAAGCGGGTCCTTCTCCTTCGCGTCGCAGACGGTCCTTCCTCGTCTGTCGGCGTGGGACGTCCAATCCTTGCCTGCTGCATCCCACTCACTACAGCTCCAAAATGCTGTGATTCAGAAATTTCAGCATATGATGAACGAACAAACCTGTGTTCCTCATTCTCATTAGGTAGGCGCTCCACCTTCTAGTGTTTTTCAAATTCTGTGAAGGCATATTCTTGGATGCCTATAATAAAGCCACGGGAAAGGTTAGCCTAGCTGGTCCCAGAGACAGGGGCGGGGCTAGTTGCTAGGAATCTGATTTTCCCGCCAATCATCTGCTCAGCTCCCAGTAGGCGGGGCAAATCTTGCGGCGTCTGTGGTAACCGGGCTGTGAAGAAGGGAAGAGGCCTGAAGCGGTCAGAGGTGGGTGACTGGGTGGCGAGCTGCGGTGACCTTGCTGGGGGTGGGTTAAGGGGCTGGGGACGCTGTTGGTTTCTTGTTGCATTTGGGGGAGAGAGAGGAGGGCCTCTTTCGCTCCAGCCGTAAGGAAGCAGGCCTGACAGTCCAGCGGGGGTGAGAGCTAGACGGGCTCTGGTCCCAGGAGCGTGGCGGTGGTCCGGGAGGAGGGCGTTGGGTCGTGGGTGATGGGTTTCCACTAATTGCGCGCGGCTCTTTGCGTTTAGATAAGCCTTTTCCTCCAACCCCTTTGTGTGAGGTCACACCAGCATCCCAAGGGCAGTCACTAGTCCCTGCGCTGAGAATTCGTCTCTCTCCCACTATATTTATTTAGAATTGTCAGCTATTTTTATTTGAATTGCCAAGTTATTTGAATGGCCAAGTTTCCCCCACGTTCAGCCTCACTTCTGTAGGATCCAATGTTGCCCTGTCAGTATCTGCAGTTTATGTTATTGGCCCTCGATCAAGAATTATCCAACAAGGTATTGAGTTCACCTCTTTGATTTAGTTCTTTCAATTTCCAGACTACAGTCTGGCCAAACTCAAACCACAAACATGCTCAGAGCAACACGAGAACTGCAAGAACTAAAATAAAAATGTCTATAAATAGCCTAGCTGCCCAATCACAAATTGACAGATAAGTTTATATAAATTATAGAAAATTATTAAATGTAAAATGAGAATGAAAATACCACACTATTAAAGTATCCATACTTGTTGGCGTTTGACAAGGCAATACAGCAATATAAATGGCTGCTGTACTAAGGTGGAGTTAGGGTTGTTCCCCGCCCCCAACCTGAGACCTATGCATTAAAAATTATGATACCTTTCCAAAATGAAAGACCAGAAAGGTCTCCCTAGTGGTGATTATTTACGAATACAGTAGGTAGAATCGGAAGCTTGTTTGTTGCTCACTATATCTGTGCCAACTACCTTTCCACTGAAAATTAAGACTCCAATTCTTCTAAAGTGTCTGCAATTTTTCAGCACCAAACTCACTGTGTTGGAAAAGGCAGGGTATGGACCCAAAGCTTTCCCAAAGGAGTTGGCTGTAAATGAACATTTCTTGCTGTATACATAGCCTTATTATCTCTTGTGTGATGCCTTTACCTGAGGGGATAAGTTCCTACCTGAGGTGACTTGCCAAGATAGAACTGTAGCTGGAGGCAGGGAAGGGTAATACGGATCCAAGGAAACTGAGATCAGAGCATTCATGGTAGTCTCTGTCTGCCTATTTCTTTTATTACCCATTCAAAGTAACTCCATTTCCCCCATTTCATTTATTCTTTCTTTCTTAGGAAAGAAAGAGACTAGGGAAACCCCCATATAAGACCTCAAAATATAATAGTTATATATAATAATTGATATAATAGTTATATCAATTAAAATGGAATAATTGTAGGTAGATATTGTATTAACAATATCCTTTTTACATTTTATTAGATTTTCTGCATTTAAATAGGTGCTGTGGCTCTATAGTTTTTGTGTTGGGATATAGGTGCATGAAGGGATTTATTTTTATCTGTTTTTCTATGAAAGGGGAGAATATGACTGCTGGTTCAGTGTGTGTCCCTCAGATCATACCACTGCGAGTTCCTCAGCCTGGAAAAGCTAACCATGAAATTGATAACAATACTCTTTTGGAAATGAAATCAGGTAGGAATAACATATATTGGAACATAGTTGAAACAGTCTTAATTTACCTTAGCCTAGGTAAGATGTCCAGAAGCCCACATTTTCCCAAGATGCTCAATATTTTGCTGGGATAATAAATTTGATGGACTAATAGAGACTTTCCAGTGTGACAGGTTAGAGATTGAATCACTATTTGGTTAATTTCTAGTGAACTCAAGCATCTTTCTGAGTCTTCGTGTCCTCATGCTAAGATAGGGCTAATTATATCTACCACTTAGAGCCACTGAGGATTGAATGAGCTGGTATATATTGGTATATGTGAGTTGATAAACTAAGTGAATTGGGCATATGTGAGGTTCATAGTGGCAGGTGCATAGTAAAAAAAAATCTTAATGTCTTATTACAAAAGTAAAGCAATGAATGTGTTTCCTGATAATATTTATTCTGCAAAATCTTTTTCTTTTTTTCTTTTTTCTTTTTTTTGTCAGTCGTGGGGCTTGAACTCGGGTTGGGCGTTGTCCCTGTGCTCTTCAGCTCAAGGCGAACACTTGAGCTACAGTGCCACTTCCTATTCTTCAAAATCTTGGGCTGGGAAGGTGGCTCAGTGGGTAGAGTGCTAGCCTTGCATGCCTGAGGCTCTGGGTTCGATTCCTCAGCACCACATAATCAGGAAAAAAAAGATAGAAGTGGCACTGTGGCTCAAGTGGTAGAGCGCTAGCCTTGAGTTGAAGAGCTGAGGGACAGCACCCAGGCCCAGAGTTCAAGCCTCAGGACCAGACCCAAAAAACAAAATCTTAAATATACTTACCTACGTATAACACACATGATCAATACTGAAAAGCTTTATAGATAAAACATGAACAAATATTTCTATAAAATGACTGAGATTTCAATTCTATATCCAATGTCTATTTTTTATTTGAATATATGTAATACTTTATGGATTTGCATGCTAATCATCTCTATAATAATTCCAATTGTAGTTTGTGTGCTGGTGGAGCACAATATTTTATCTGAATTGAATGTAAATAAACTACTTAACTACATTTGTAGTTAACCCCTTCACTTCCTACACCATGAATTCCAACTCAGAATATGCATCATTATGGTATGTCCTCCTAATATGATTTTTTTTTGTCGGTTGTGGGGCTTGAACTCTGGGCCTGGGTGCTGTCCCTCAGCTCTTCAGCTCAAGGCAAGTGCTCTACCACTTGAGCCACAGCACCACCTTCGGTGGTTATAACCACAATTTTCTGGCCATTTTTTGGAGATAAGAGTCTCATAGCCTTTCCTGCGGGCTGGCTTTGAACTGTGATCCTCAGGTCTCAGTCTCCTGGGTAGCTAGGATTACAGGCATGAGACACCAAACACAGCTTCCTAATATGATTTTTAAAAAGAAAAATTTTAATGTATGTGTTTATAATTCAGGGAAAGTTGGATGATTGTTGACAAATAATGATTTGAAGGACAGGGGATACAAATTCTTCAACATCTAAATATCAGATGCACAGAGATCCCACGATTCAATACTAAAAAAATAACCTGATGGAAGACTGGGCAAAGGATATGAAAAGACAGTTCATAGGAAACAAACTATAAATGTCTCTTACATGAATAAAACAGGGCTGGAGGAGTGACTCAAACTCTAGAGTGTCTGCATAACAATTGTAAAGGCCTGAGTTCAAACCCCAGAACTGCCAATGAATAAAGAAGTAAATGAAAGTATGTTTCTATCCATCCCTTTACCTGCTTTGTAGGTGTACCGTATCTCCTCCTTTCACACCATAATACTTATCACTTGCAAGAGGAACTTACTTATTTATTTACTGTTTGTGTATTCTTCAAATGTAAACTCTATGAGAGCAGGGAATGTGGTCATGTGTGTGTCCTCAGTGTAATAAATGTAATAATCAAGTAGAAACTATCATTTATACTCAGATACCTGACCTATAGCTATTATTTCAGGGACTTGCAACTTTAGTGTTAATTACAGTTATCCTGTTGTGGATTTTTCAGATACCCCAGATGTCAATATATATTATACCCTGGATGGCAGCAAACCTGAGTTTCTGAAGAGAATTGGTTATGGTGAAAATAATACATTTAAGTATACAAAACCCATTACTTTGCCTGATGGGAAAATACAGGTTAAAGCTATTGCAGTCTCTAAGTAAGTTGATCAAACTGATTTGTAATACCTTGCTTTAACTTTATTTAGTTCATCCTATGATATCAGTGCTGCATTAGAAGGGCACATGAATTTTTCTTTAATTTTAGCATATGTATTCACTTTTCTGTTTTATGTGCTTTTTGCTGAAGTATACTGTAAGGTGCACAAATTATAAGCCACAGTTCAAAAGATATAATGTATATTGATAATATTTTTATTTTATATTTCACACTGGTGATCTGGGATGGAAAAACCTTTCTAGGGTTGGAGACCTCTAAGGATCTTTATGTGGCTCTGAAGTAGGAAATCACTGTGTTTAGAGATAGTTCTTTTATGACCTACAACTACCTCCGTCATTTTCTTATTGATTTTGTTTGATTTAACTGGCCTTTAAAACTACTCTTGTTTCAACTTGGTGGGCATGAGCCACTTCATTTTTCCTTTATTCTCTTTGTGCTACTTGGGGACTTTCCCCCATTTTCAAATATAGAAATCACTTAATTTAAAAACATTTATCATATATTATAGATTTTTGAAAAGTCTCAAATATCTAGGAAATGATAGAGGGAAAAGGTGAGTTTGGCCACATTCTGGGAATATCTTTAAGTTGCAAATCAAATGTCTCACTGACCCAGGTACTTTGAAAAGATTCTCTAGGCTCTCTCTCCTAGCTGAACTATTTATTGCATGTATTTTGGGGTGGATCTACGACTTTTACACTGATAACTGCTTTGACATCTTTACACAAATTAAACTAACAACCCATTTATACATGACATATTCTTTATTAAACAGAAAATTCTATATAGTTTATTTAATAGAAAAGTATTTTCTCGCTTGCCAAGACACTTGTATCAAACAAACCTTTTTTTTTTTTTTTTTGTCGGTCATGGGGCTTGAACTCTGGGCTTGGGCGCTGTCCTTGTGCTCTTCAGCTCAAGATGAGTGCTCTACCGCTTGAGCGATAGCACCACTTCCGGTTTTCTAGCAGTTTATTGGAGATAAAAGTCTCACGAACTTTCCTGCCCGAGCTGGCTTTGAACCACGATCCTCAGATATCAGCCTCCTTAGTAGCTAGGATTACAAGCATGAGCCACCGGTGCCTAGCAAAACAAACCATTTTAATTATTAAGAATTAAGAAGCTAGCCAGGTGTCAGTGGCTCATGCCTATAATCCTAGCTACTCAGGAAACTGAGATCTTAGGATGATGGTTCAACGCCCTGGCAGGAAGTCCATGAGACTATCTCCAGTTAACCACCAAAGATCTGCAAGTGGAGCTATAGTTTACGTGGTAGAGTACCACTTGTGAGCAACAAAGGCTCAGGAACAGCACCCAGGCCCTGAGTTCAAGCCCAGGACCAGCACACACACACAAATTATAGAATAGAAATAGTTAAAACATAATGAATTAAGTAGTTATGTTAAGGGACTTTAGGGTCTTTTAAATTGATAATCACTATTTCTTTGAATCTTTTTTAACAGCCTTTCTGTCTGTCTGCTCTCTCTCTTTCTCTTTATCTCTCATGATATCCAGAGATTGCAGACAGAGTGGAATTGTAACAAAAGTGTTTCAAGTGGGTTATGAACCACCAAAGATAGTTTCTTCTGAAGATAACATTGAAAATGTTCTCAAAGATTCTTCAAAGCAGGCAAGTAATGAAACTATACACACACACACACACACACACACACACACACACACACACACACACACACACACACACACACACACACACACACACGTCAGTCACTGTGTACTTGTTTCCTTCATTCTGAGTGACCCATGTTTGCTTTCATTACATTACCTCTGCTCACAATAAATCAGGTCCGTATAGTTGAAGTCCGTTTCAAACCTTGCAAAGTAATTTGCTGGTTTTTGGTCAAGTTTTCCTCCATCCCAAGATTTCAATTCTAACCCAGCATCACTACCCATATACCAGCATCTTTACTGACTTTTATCTACTGAAGAAAGCAGAAACATTTAGCTTTCTAGCTAGGTGAACAGTTTTTGTCTTTGGTCAGTTGAGTCTGTGACTCCACACATATACATAAGCTCCAGCTAAACTGGGTACTGTGCTCTCTTGCTGCACTGGGGCTTCTCCTTTACAAAAATGCTTCGAGCATTTGGTTTCGTATCAGCTTTCCCCATCAATTGTAAGGCCTAGAGCAGAGGGCATGCTGTAATAATACTCATTTAATTTTGCACAGGGGAAAGTGGGAGAGGTGGTAAGTATATGTTTGGAGAATAGAATCATAAGACTCATATAAGTCCCCAGTGGTCATAGACTCCTAAATGTAATCCCCAAATATATACAAAACTTCCCCTTTGCAGAGTCAATCTGACCTAATAATGATATTTGAAACAATCCCTGGGTTCTCAGCATCAGTGAGATAGATCCAAAAAGCAGGATGAGAAGATAGGCTAGCCTATTGGAAAGCATCCAATCAAGAGGGTGAGACATGAGGATCTTGGGGGTGATCCCTGAAGAAGTTTTGTGGGAATGTCTCTGAAACCCACTGGTGGCCAGAAAAATCAGAGATGAGGGTATAAAACTAAGTCATTGGGCATAGACATGAGATCTGGCTTTAGTGTGATTGTGACAAGACAGCCAGCAGAGATGTACATCTACTGGTGCTCAGGTTGGAATCAGATATAAAGGATAAAGTCCATGGGGAAGAAAGTCCAGAAAGAATAATGTTTCAGAACTGTGTGGGGGCAAATAGCATATGTGAGTCCTATTTTGGTCTGACTCCACACTATCTATGGATCTGGTAACTCCCTGATATTACTGCCTCCAGTGATTATGATATCCTCCTATATGTGCTACAATCTGCCTCCTGCCTTTACCACTTGATATGCCCAGATATGCTGCTAATCAAGTAACATAAAGCCAAGTTAGGTGTTACTCTATATTTCTATGAGAAAATGAAATACAGGTCACTGTAAAAATTTCTGTAAACTCTTTCAAGTAAGAAATGTACACCATGGTTGGGTGTAGTGGCTCATGCCTGTAATCCTAGCTACTCAGGAGGCTAAGATCTGACGATTGAGGTTCAAAGCCAGCGCTGGCAGGAAAGGCCGTGAGACTCTTATGTCTAATAAACCACTCAGAAAACCAGAAGTGGTGCTGTGGCTCAAATGGTAGAGCACTACTGGCCTCGAGCTGAAGAGCTGAGGGACAGCACACAGGCCTAGAGTTCAAACCCCATGACCAGGGAAAAAAGAAAAAGAAAAGGTAAAGAAATATACACCATGACATTGTCTCTATCCTGTGACTTGGAATTTTTACATTCTAAATGGGTACAAGTCAACTGATACTCAGTGTATTCTTTCCTAGGAATTGAAAAATGGATTTGATGGATCAAAACTAAGGAAGAAATACAAGAATGCTGAGAATAAATCTAGTTGGAATGTTAACCTTAGAAAGTTTCCAGGTATGATCTGATAGAATGAAGGTAAGATTTCATGTTCTAAACTCACTCAACAGGCTCATGCACGTTTACTGCATATTTTCTTATCTGCAGACGTTGGACTAAGAAAGCACTGCAAAGTAGGCTGTGATATGAGATTTTGTGCTGTTCTTGCTAACAGCTTAAGACCATGATGTACAACAAAGTTGGGTCTTATTGATTAATTGTATTGAGTGAGACCATATTTCAGGAAATCATGGTATGCCTCCCCTAAAAAATAAAAACAGTAAAGGGTTTGAGAGAAGGGTGAAGTTTGGTGAAATTTAAATGAAAGTAGAGTTTTGATGATCTCAAAGCAAAGTTAGGGTATATATGAAAGAGTTATATCAGATATGGACTGAGGTTCATTTACACAGTAACTATAAAATACACATGAAGTGCTGGGAATGTGGCTTAGTGGTAGAGTGCTTTCCTATCATGCATGAGGTCCTGAGTCGATTCCTCGGTATGACATAAGGAAGGTGGCTCAGTGGTAGAGCACTTGCCTTGCATGCTCGAGGCCCTGGGTTCGATTCCTCAGCACCACATAAGCCACACTGTGGCTCAAGTGGTAGAGTGTTAGCCTTGAGCTGAAGAGCTGAGGGACAGAGTTCAGGCCCCACGACCGGACCCCCCAAAAAAACCCACAAAAACCAAAAACAGCCAGAAGTTGTGCCGTGGCCCAAATGGTAGAGTGATAGCCTTGAGCAAAAGAAGCTCAGGGACAGTGTCCAGGCCCTGAATTCAAGTCCCAGGACTGGCAAAAAAAAAAATCCACATGGAACATTGCGATCAGAAAACCTTATACATAGCTTAGCACCAAGGTTGGCTATTGAAGCTGCTTTTTTATACCAAAGTGACTTAGATTCTTCAGACAAGAATCAAGTTCTGACAAATGGGATTTTTTTTTCTTCTTGTCGGGCATGGGCTTTAACTCTGGGCCTGGGTGCTGTCGCTCAGCTCTTCAGCTCAAGGCTATAGCTCTACCACTTGAGCTACAATGTCACTTCTGTTTTTTTTGGTGGTTTATTGGAGATAAGAGTTTCAGGGACTTTCCTGCCCGGGCTGGCTTTGAACCTCCATCCTCAGAGCTCAGCTTCCTGAGTAGCTAAGATTACAGGCGTGAGCCACTAGCACCTGGCAACAAATAGGATTTTTAAAAGCAGTTTCTGATAATCTATGAGGTTAGAGAACAGAATTTCTCAGTTGTAAGCAATAGTCACTCAAAAAAAAGTATTGGTTAGGTACAGTGTCTTATATGTATAATCTGAGCTACTTGGGAAGGAGGCAGAGATTGAGAGGAACACAGTTCCTGGGCAAAAATTAGTTTCCCACCTCAGACTGTATACAAATATGTACTGGGCACCAGCGGCTCCTGCCTATAATCCTAGCTACTCAGGAAGGTTCATGAAACTCTTTTGTTTTTTTTGTTTTGTTTTGTTTTGTTTTTGTTTTGTTTTTGGGTCCGGTCGTGGGGCCTGAACTCTGGGCCTGGGTGCTGTCCCTCAGCTCTTCAGCTCAAGGCTAGTGCTCTACCACTTGAGCCACAGCACCACTTCCAGCTTTTTTCTTTTTTCTTATGTGGTGCTGAGGAATCGAACCCAGGGCCTCAGGCATGCAAGGCAAGCGTTGTACCACTGAGCCACCTTCCTAGCCCCAGGTGAAATACTTCTTAAAAATAATGTTTAAATAGTTATACAAATGGGTTTCAATTCAGTATATTAGTTTATGAGTACAATACATCTTGATCAATATCATCTTTTCCATTCATGTGAAAATATTTTACATTAGTGATTCCCAGGATTTTGACTGTGGTTCATCACTGGAAATGCTATGTTGGACCAGAAACATTTATATTCATAGAGTAGACATGTTGATGTTTTGAGAAAACAGATAATTACCAAGTGAGCCCAGTAATTAGCAGTCTACTTATCTCTCCTTCTGATGAATACTGAAGTCTGAGAGTTCCTGAGAGAGAGAGAGAGAGAGAGAGAGAGAGAGAGAGAGAAAGGAAAGAGAGAGAGAGAAAGAGAGAGAGAGACAGAGAGACAGAGAGAAAGGGAGAGAGAGAGAAAGAGAGAGAGAGAGTGCATCCCTGAAGAGGTTAATATCCAAATTGAACCATGAAAGGGCTTTACCATTCCTGCATATGTCTTGGGGAAAACACTCAGCAATAGTCATAACAAGGACAGCAAAGGGAGAGGACAGGGAGCTGCTGTGGTTGAAACATGATGAACAAATTATGAGACATAGTGATCTAGGTCCAGAACATCTAGGTTCTCAGATTAAAAATCACCTGAGGAGCTTCTAACCAATCCCAGGGACCTAATATGAGAAATTCAAATTCACTTAGACTGAGGTGTTGTGGAGACATTGTTTGTTTTTACTCATAGTCATGATTGAGAATTACAGGGGCTTAGGAAGCTAGTTTTATTGTAAGAAGTTTAGGTTTTATTCATTTTGTAAAGCAATCTATTTGGATTTTTTTTTCCTGTCATGGGGTTTGAATTCTGGGCCTGGGCGTTGTCCCTCAGCTCTTTAGCTCAAGGCTAGCACTCTACCATTTGAGCCACAGCACCACTTCCTGTTTTCTAAGTGATTTGTTGGAGATAAGAATCTCATGGACTTTCCTGCCTAGGCTGGCTTTGAACCGTGATCCTCAGATCTCAGCCTCCTGAGTAGGATTACAGGTGTGAGCCACTAATGCCCGGCTTCTATTTGGATTTTATACTAAACTATAACCAGACTTGTAGTAAATTGATAATACTACTTCCATTCAAAAGTTTTCTCTTTGGCTACAGGATAAGAGGTGAGTATCATTTTAGAATCATTTTAGAGGTGTTTCCTCTAGGTTGATTGTAGATACAGAGATGCTTGTAACTGGGTCAAGGTTGTAGAGGTGTTGAGGACAAGTGGCAGACATATTTGGCGGAGGGATCAATAGATGAGATAAGGTAAAGGGAGTAGACAAGGATGAACTGTGGGGTTTTGGCTTCTAAGGGCAACACAGGAGGCCTTGCTCTCTTCCCATTGAACCTCAAGTAGCATATACTTGGAATTTAATTTCCTAACAGTTGCTCCTTATGTGCCCATTGTTCTAGATTGTTTGCATCTACTATCAACTATAAAGAAGGCAAAAGGCATGGTTCCCAAACCTGATTGTCTTATCAGAATCACCCAGAAGGAACCTTAAATGTATGTGTAGATTTCTAGCTGGCTTCTTCTACAATATGCTGAGCTATAAGCCTAAAATGAAATTCACAGATGACTTTTATGGTCAGCCCAGTCTGAGAATCACTGGCCAAGAAGACTCTCCTCATCCTAAGGCCAAATAATTGCCTTCATAAGCAGTCTCTAATGTCAAGGTAGAACTCAGCACAATCTCCTGGGTTCTTTCATGTGCCTATATACTATATTTTTTGAGGACCACAAAGTCCAAACCAGGGAATCACAAATCTGGGAAAGTCTGCTTGCAAACTCCACTAAACAAAGGGATAACATCTCTATAATTGAAAATTGCCTTTCCAAATATTCTGGGAAAAATGTCTACCTAGTTACCAGATGACCAATGACTACATTCAGCTCCTGGGGACAGTACACTGTAGTGTGACCCAAATAAAAACACTGCTTTTAAGATAAAATGTCATGTTTTGATAAATGAATGGTTGAAGAACAAAACACAATAATTGTTTTCAGCACAACAATCTCATATAGTTGCTTCTTGAAATGTGTCTAGAAGTATTGTTTTCTTTTTTCTTTTCTTTCTTTTTTTTTTCTGTTGGTCATGGGGCTTGAACTCAGGACCTCATACTTGCTAGGCAAGTGTTCTACCACTTGAACCACACCCCTAGCCCGGCTTTAAGTTTTTTAATCCCAAAGTGCTTGTAATATAGAGTCAAGGACAGAGTTTTATGAATTTGAATAGCATTTAGAAAGCTAGGAAAGCCAGAAAATAAATATAAAAAGGCTCTCTCCTACTCTTGTTCTTCATATTGGTAAGAGATTTTTCTAGTATTTCAGCTCTATCCATCTGAATGAGCTTCAGAAACTATTAGAATTAATGATACTAATAATCATATTATGCTTGATATCATTGATAATCATATTTTAATATCATTAATGATATAATATCACAGAATTAATGTCATTATTCTATGTGCAATATGTTAGTAACTTCCAGGGAAATGAGACATCTCTGAGCTAAGCATCTGGCTTGGGGTGCCTTTGGGGCCAAACAGGGATAAATGACAACTGATACTTGACTTTAGTGAGATCATAAAAGTAGGAAGCCAGTGCCAGTGGCTTATCCCTATAATCCTAGCCACTCAGGAGGCTGAGATCTTAGGATCACGGTTCAAAGCCAGCCCAGGTAGGAAAGTCCATGAGACTCTTTATTTCCAGTTAACCCCTAGAAAACTGGAAGTGGCTCTGTGACTCAAAGTGGAAGAGTGTTAGCCTTGAGCAAAAAAGCTCAGGGTCAGTGCCCAGACCCTGAGTTCTTGTGGAAGACCTCAGCCAGCTAAATGGTTCACTTAACCCAAAACAACCACTGAAAGGAAGAACTATAGGTTCAGTGTTACCACATCTGATGAAATTATGTCATTAAGTGCAATTTGAACTTAATAATTCAAACTCTTAATTGGCATAGGAACCAATATACCTGATATTTGGGCCATATATCATATTTTCCCAATGACTGCCAGTTTGTGATTTCTGATATGAGTCATGTTAGATTTAACAAAAATGCAATAAAAAGTCTTATTGCCTGCAAATTAAGTGGAAGTCCTGAACTTACCACACAAGCATTTTTTTTTTTTTGGTCAGTCGTGGGGCTTGAACTCTGGGCCTGGGTGCTGTCCCTCAGCTCTTCAGTTCAAGGCGAGTGCTCTACCACTTGAGCTACAGCGCCACTTCCAGTTTTCTGGTGATTTATTGGAGATAGGAGTCTCATGGTCTCTCCTGCCTGGGCTGGCTTTGAACCGCGATCCTCAGATCTCAGCCTCCTGAGTAGCTAGGATTACAGGCGTGAGCCACCAGCACCTGGCTCACACAAGCATTTAAGAGGAGTTATTTAAAGAGACAGGTAGGACTGAGAGTAGTACCCATAGTCTTAACATGAATTCAAGGAAGTGACTTCATTTTTCTGAGCCTCAGCCTCCTCCCCTCAAACATGAGTTTTACATATGTGTCTCTTCATATGGTATGCTGAGATGGCCTCAATACCCTATCTTTGGAATTTGTGACAAAATACATGATTGAATCCAATCACAAAGAAATGTCAAACAAAACTAAATTGGAGGATATCTAGCTTGTTACTCTTTAAAAAATGTCAAAATCAGCTTGGTGCCAGTGGCTCATGCCTGTAATCCTAGCTACTCAGAGGCTGAGATCTGAGGATCATGGTTCAAAGCCAGCCTCGGCAGGAAAGTCTGTGAGACACTTAACTCCAATAAACCACTAGAAAACTGGAAGTGGTGCTATGGCTCAAGCAGTAGAGCACTTGTCTTGAGCTGAAGAGTTCAGGGGCAGTGCCCAAACCCAGAGTTCATGTCCCATGACTGACCAAAAAAAAAGTCAAAATCATGGAAGATCAAACAGACTGAAGAACTATTCTAAATTAGGGATGGTTAAAGGAACATGACAAATACAAAATGTGGCTCTAGAGTAGATCCTGGACCAGGAAAATATTTAGCTAAAGACATCATTGGCACAACTCATGAGGTCTAAGTATAAATCTGTGGGTTAGATTATAGTATTGTGTCCCTGTTAAGTTTTCTAACTTTGTTACATGGTTGTGTAAGAGGACAGTCTTGTTCTTTACCAAGAACACAAGTACTTTACCAAGTAACACGTTCAGTTACTTAGGGACAAAGGCACACCATGACTCAAGCTTATTCTCATATAATTCAGAAATTGAGAATTAAGGAATATTTAAAACAGTGTTAATGTAAACAATTGATCAAGCTAAGTAGACAGGAGGTGTTATTTATGATCTCCTTATAACTCCTTTCTGCAAATTTGAAATTATATTAAAGTAGATATTGGGCTAGGAATGTGGCTTATTGGAAGCGTGCTTGCCTAGCATGCATGAAGCCCTGGGTTTGATTTCTCAGTACCACATAAACAGAAAAAGCCAGAAGTGGCATTGTGGCTCAAGCGATAGAGTGCTAGCCTTGAGCTGAAGAGCTGAGGGATAGCGCCCAGGCCCAGAGTTCAAGCCCCATGACCAACAAAAACAGAAAAACCAGTGTATATTCAGATAGGTGAATCTTTTAGCATTTTCTTCAAGTATCATAATCCTTGAGCAAAACTTAGATTTTTCAGTTTATTAAATCTGGTAAATTCAGCGAGGCACCAGTGGCTCACACCTGTAATTCTAGCTACTCAGGAGGTTGATATCTGAGGATTATGGTTCAAAGCCAGCCCGGGCAGGAAAATCTAAGAGACCATCTCCAGTTAACCACCAGAAAACCAGAAATGGTGCTGTGGTTCAAGTGGTAGAGCGCTTGCCTTGAGCCGAAAAGCTCAGGGAGAGCACCTAAGCCCAGAGTTCAAGCCCCACGATGGAAAAAAATCTGGTAAATTCAGATGGCAAAATCAGATATCTTCTATTGTAAACTTTCCTCTTCAATGAAATTTACATATCAATTATGAACAACACGATGTAATTTTTAATGTTAGATACTAGAGTATAAATGCTTAGTCATAATTGCTTATGACTAGCTCCATCATAGGTTTTATTTATTTATTTTGTCAGTTGTGGGGCTTGAACTCTGGGTCTGGGCACTGTCCCTCAGCTCTTCAGCTCAAGGCTAGCACTCTACCACTTGAGCCACCATCATAGGTTTTAAAAGATGAAAGCTAGGTATTATGAACTGAACATTAAAGTTAAATTTGAATAGAAGTTTGCTGTCTTATAGCATTTACCAAGTTAAATTAACTCTTTGTTCTCTTAATTTTAGCCCCCTGGATTTGCCCACATAAATGGCCGTAAGAGTCTGACAAGCACGGAGGTCATGAGGATTCAAAGGGAGACAGACTTTCTCAAGTATGTATCTCTTTACTCTGTTCTAAATTCTGCAAAGATGCATCATTGTCAGAGAGTTTAAAAATGGAAAAGCAATAATAATCTTGCCCACTCCTTGCTTTCAAAATAAAAAAGTTTAGAGCTTGTAAAAGGTATAATTGACCTGTAAGTTGTATATACTTAAAGTTTTATATGTATGTACATACATATACATATATATATATATATATGTACTATCACCACAGTCAGAAAATGAGTAAATTCATCTCCTCTTAAAATTGTCTACCTTATACCCTTTCCCTACTTCTATCCTATTATTAATCCACCTGTTGTCATTAGTTTAGTTTGCATCTTACTCTGCATACAAATGTAGTATCTTTTTGGAGAAAAGAGGCAGGCTTTTTGGCTCAGTATAATTATTGTAGGATTCACATGTGTTGTGCCTAGTTCTCTGTACTGCTGGGTTTCTGTTATGTGGAAAGACCACAGTTTGCTTATCTTGAGAGGACATGTGTGTGTTCCAGGTTTTGACTGTTACAGGTAAAGTTCATAGGAACATTTAAGACATAGGCTTTCATTCCCCTTGGAGTAAATACCTTGAAAAAGAAAACATGGGTTATATGATAGGTATATGTTATTTTTTTTTTGGCCAGTCCTGGGGCTTGAACTTCAGGCTTGAGCACTGTCCCTGAGCTTCTTTGGCTCAAGGCTAGCACTCTACCAGTTGAGCCACAATGCCACTTCCACCTTTTTCTGTTTATGTGGTACTGAGGAATCAAACCCAGGGGCTTCATTCATGCTAGGCAAGCACTCTAAGCCACATTCCCAGCCCTATGTTACACTTTTTAAGATACTATGTGTTTTCCAAACTAGTTGTGCCATTTTTGCATTCTCATAAACAGTATTGGAGAATTACAATTTCTGTACATCCTCATCAACACCTTGATTTTGATTTTTGGTAACTAGTGGGATTGTAGTAGAAGCTTATTATGATTGTAACGTACGCTTCCCTAAGCATGTGTGTCTCTGGCTTGGGTCATGCCTCCCAGCTCTAAGGAATTTCTTTTCTAGCTGTTGTCTTTGTTTTGTTTTGGTGTCAGGATAAGTTTGGCTTTATAGAATGACCTGGGGCCGGGCCAGTTCATGCCTATAATCCTAACTACTCAGGAGGTTGAGATCTGAGGATCTCCGTTCAAAGCCAACTTGGGCAGGAAAGTCTGTGAAATTCTATCTCCAATAAACTACCAGAAAACCAGAAGGGGCACTGGAGCTCAAGTGGTAGAGCACTAGCCTTGAGCTGAAGAACTGAGAGACAGCACTCAGGCCCAGAGTGTAAGCCCCACGACTGACCCCCCCACCAAAAAAAAATGACCTGGGAAAAAGTTTCTCTCTCCTTTAATTTTCTGAGTTTGTATAAATTAGTGTTACATATTCCATGAATATATGGTAGAATTTGCCAGTGATATCACTAGAGCACTAGAGTTTGGAATTTTTCTTTCAAGAAGCCTTTATCTATATATGCAATTTAATAATAGGTTCATTCATGTTTATCTCCTTTTCTGAGTGAATTTTGGACTTTACTTGCCTTTTTAGTTTTTAGTTTCTTGCTTATTAAAGATGAAGTCTCTGGCTTGAAGTCTTTTCTTCTTTCCTAATATTGAATTACTGTCAGTTACATCATTGACCTTACATTTCCTTGTGTACTGCTTTACTCATGTCCCTCACATTCTTATGTGTTGTGTTTTAATTTTCATTCAGGTCAGTTTCTGACCTTTTTATTTTTTAATTTATTATTATTATTTTTTTTGTCGGTCGTAGGTCTTGAACTCTGGGCCTGGGCACTGTTCCTCAGCTTTTTAGCTCAAGGCTAGCACTCTACAACTTGAGCCACAGTACCACTTCCAGTTTTCTGAGTGGTTTATTGGAGATAAGAGTCTCACTGTCTTTCCTGCCCAGGCTGGCTTTGAACTATGATCCTCAGATCTCAGCCTCCTAAGTAGCTAGGATTACAGGTGTGAGCCACCAGCACCCGGCCTGACCTTTTTATTTTTGACAGATGGGTTAATTAGAAGTCTTTTGTTAAATTTCCAAATATTGAAGGATTTTCCTTACACATTTCTGGTTTCTATTTCATGTTAAACTTCATTTGGTCAGATGACATGTATAATTTACTGTTAAATATTCTGTGTGCATTTTAAACTAATGTGTGTTCTGCTGGTATAAGTGTATTATAAATATCAATTAGGTTAAGTTAATAAAATTGTTTTAAGCCTGGAGATGGCGCTGTGGCTCAAGTGGTAGAGCACTAGCCTTGAGCCGAAGAGATGAGGGACAGCGCCCAGACCCAGAGTTCAAGCTCTACGACTGACAAAGAAAAAAAAAAAAAACTAGTAAAATTGTTTAAGCCTTTTCTATTTTTAAGGATATTCTACTTTTTGTAGAATAGTCATATATTGAGATAGTGATGTTGAAATCTGTGGCTATATTTATGTGTCTATTTCTATAAATGTTTTCTTCATGTACTTTGAGGTTCTAATATTAAGTTCATCAACCCTATGAATTTGTATATCTTGTTGCAGAGATGACTCCTATGTCATTATAAAATAATTTAATTTTGATAATACCTTTTACTCAGAAATCTTCTTTTAGACTATGTCTGTATGGCATACACACACATACACACACACACACACACACATTCTATCCCTCTTAACATACTTTTGTCCCATTACTTAAGGTTAGTTGGTCTTGGGTTAAAAAAAATTACATCTGGCAATCTGCATTCTGTTTAGAGTGTATGCAAAGCATTCTAACTGGTGCCTCATTACATATGAATTTTTTTTCATGTTAGCAGCAATAAGCATGAATTTCCCAACAATGCCTGAGCCCTAAGGATTGTTTCTTGAAACCCTCTTTAGTGTTTTTTTCCTGGCTTTACGTAGTTTCTTATGTCAGGGCAGTAGTACCCTTTTGAAGACTTGAGAGTGACCTTCTGACAAGTTCTGAAACTCTCTGTGCAGCTCTTCTTTGGTATTCTTTGCTTTAAAAAAATGCAATTGCGGGCTGGGAAGGTGGCTCAGTGGTAGAGTGCTGGCCTTGCATGCCTGAGGCCCTGGGTTTGATTCCTCAGCACCATATAAGCAGAAAAAGCCAGAAGTGGCGCTGTGTCTCAAGTGCTAGAGCACTAGCCTTGAGCTGAAGAGCTGAGGGATAGTGTCCAGGCCCAGAGTTCAGGCCCCACAACTGGCAAAAAAAAAAAGTAATTGCTCTGGGCGCCAGTGGCTCACACCTATAATCCTAGCTACTCAGGAGGCTGAGTTCTGAGGATCATGGTTCAAAGCCAGCTGGGGCAGGAAAAGTCCATGAGACTCTTATCTCCAATAAACCACTCAGAAAACTAGAAGTGGTGCTGTGACTCAAGTGGACTTGAGGACTACCCTTAAGCTGAAGAGCTGAGGGAAAGCACCCAGGCCCAGGTTCAAGCCCCATGACCGACAAAGAAAAGAGTCTGACTCTTGTCAGATTCCCAGCTTTATGCTCTCAATTCAATGAAGAAACAATGACATAGTCAAGTCATGAGCTTTGGCATAAGTAGGAGGGAACCTGTTGATCTGGTAGTGAACCCAGTCAGGAGACATGGTTAAACCTTGGTGACCATTGCCTTGTTAGAAAGGATGGAATAGAATAAAGAATACGGGAGTTAAATCAACTATAATGGCTAGTAATCATTAGGAGGCCATGGTGGAGTTGAGCGCAGACAACCAGACAGTCCAGTGTCCAGTATCCATGAATTCTTTTTATAGTTGTTAAGAAGAAACTATAAGGGAATAAGAAGGGAACCAAGCTTCAAGGAAGGGCATGGAAACAGCAGTGTGTTCACAGGGTAGTCTAATCCCAAGAATCCTTTTAGTTGTATAGATATATACACAGAAAGATTATGGGGGCTAGCCCATGAGATCTACATGCTCAGGAAATGGGGTCAGGGCCTTGGAAATCTAGCTAGGTGAATGAAAAGAAAGGCAGGGCTTGACTCACACTCACATTATAGAATGCCATCAAGAAAATCTGATACTCAGACTAGATTTTGTGAGAAAGTGAGAAAAATACACTGTAAACATGACTGGAATTCCCCAGGTTTACCATCACGCAAGCCAAATTCAATGTAATACGACAAGCCACAGCCCAATTAAACATTGGGATTAGGGCTGCTGATAAATTTCCTGTCACAGCCAGGAAGTGGCATAGGTCTAACCTACAAGGAATAAGCACCATAAGTTTCAGCTATGCAGCTATTTTGTGGTGAAATGACCTAGACAAGAATCATGTACCACATAAGGAATTCTATATGGATCTGCTGGTTGAATGGTTTGGTCGTACTGTGAATTGATATAGGATGGAATATATATCCCCAGAATGCTGTAATGAAGAAATCCTTTTTATAACCATTTAAAAGAACAAATCTCAGGCCTTGATCCTATTCTATAGCTGCTAAGGTGTGTGTGTGTATGTGTGTGTTTAGACTTTGACCAGCCTTCTTAATGTAGACCCACTTGGCCCACTGGGAACCTGTTTTGTTGTAGGTGTGCCCACTGCTTGGCCCCCTACCCAACAGATCCCTATGCTCGCTTCTGTCAAGAATGTGGAGCTCCTGTCCCACCCATCTTTGGCTGTCGGCTTCCACCCCCAGAAGGAGCTCAGGTGAGCTGCAGAATTCTTAAAAACATCTTATTGATTCACACCTGTAATCCTAACTGCTCAGGAGGCTGAGGTCTAAGGATTGCAGTTCAAAGCCAACCTGAGCAAGAAAGTCCATGAGCCTCTTATCTATAGTTAACCACCAAAAAGTCAGAAGTGGAGCTGTGGATCAAGTGGTAGAGTGCTAGCCTTGAGCAAAAAAGCTTGGGAACAGTGTTCAGGCTCTGAGTCAAGCCCCAGAACTGGCATACACACACACAAGTCTTACGTTGGTATATGAGCTCTTTATCTGCAGCAGTCACACAGTGCCTGGCACACATATCAAAAACATAGACAATTGTTGAAAGAATAATGAGCAGAGGAAGTGACACTATGGTTCAAGTGGTAGAGTGCTTACCTTGAGCTGAAGAGCTCAGGGACAGCACCGAGGCCCAGAGTTCAAGCCCTATGACCACCACCACCACCAACAACAACAACAAAAGAACACATGGGTCTGGGAAGGTGACCCAGTGGTAGAGCGCTTGCCTTGCATGCCTGAGGCCCTGGGTTCGATTCCTCAGCACCACAAAGCAAAAAAGAAAAAAGCCGGAAGTGGCGCTGTGGCTCAAGTGGTAGAGCACTAGCCTTGAGCTGAAGAGC